TTCGAAAAAATGTCAAGTTCTGAGCGAGGAATGGGTCAATCTCTTACAAGAAGAACTCCAAATTATGTAACCTGGGGTCAACTGGAGCAGACGGTGGACATACACTTTTCTTCTTTGAAAGAGCAGTTTACCGCCCTGATTAATGAACTTCTCTGGCGAATCTCACGGCAACCGCAACCGAGTTAACCCCCATCTTGAGCCCTATACCTTTCGCCCAGTGGGGCTTGGATCTGTTAGGGCCACTCCCTTTAGCTTCAGAGCAAAGAAAGTTTCTCATTATAGCCATCGACTACTTTACTAAGTGGATCGAAGCTGAACCATTGGCTAGGATCAGTGAAAGCAATGTCACCAACTTCATATGGAAATCCATCATCTGTCATTTCGGCATGCCTCGGTAGCTTATCACTGACAACGACACTTAATTTGACAGCAAGGGCTTCTGCGACTTCTGTGAAGAATACAACATTCACCTCAAATTCGCATCGGTATCACACCCAAAATCAAATGGCCATGCAGAGGCTGCCAACAAGTGCATCCTTCAAGCACTAAAGAAGAAGGTGGACACTATCGTAGGACGTTGGGTCGATGAATTACCAAGTATCCTATGGTCGTACCGCACAACCCATAAGAATTCAACTGGGGAAACTCCCTTCAAGCTAACATATGGAGCTGAAGCAATTACGCCAGTTGAAGTGGGCATACCGACTATTCGACTGCGACACTTCGACAAAGACCTGAACTCAATAGGCCTCCAAGTCAGCCTAGATCTTTTGGAAGAAGCAAGGGAGAAACCACTCCGTACTCGGGTCATTAATCAACAACGGATCACCCGGCATTACAATAAGAAGATTCATCCCAGAAGGTTCATGGCTTGGGACCTTGTCCTCTGTAAAGCGACATTCGACAAGGATACTCGACAAGGCAAGATGGCTCCAAATTGGGAAGGACCTTATACAGTTATGGAAGAGCTAAGATCCGGTATCTATCGGTTGAGAGCCCCAGATGGACGAATCCTCAGTCACCCATGGAACATTGAACACCTACGATTGTATTTTCTTTAAAAATTCCAGCTTAACTTCTTAATTTTGAAAATTCCCTATGAAGAATGCATGCCTTAGGTAATTAGTAATATATCTGATAAAACGACTTTAGCCAAACTTTTACGTTATCATAATAACTTGAAAATAGAAAGGTAAGACCTAATCGACTCTCTTGATCCTAGGCACAACCTTGGGGTCGATCCCTGTATCACCCTTCGATTAAGCAAAAATAAAATAAAAAATCTTCAAGAGTTTTCAAACACTCAAGATGAATTTACTTCTTCATTAACCTCTTACAAAGTCAAAAGTACAATTACAATGACCGACAAAAAAGGGAGGGAAAGGAAATATAACTAGTTCTCATTTTTCTTGACATACGAGGTCCTCTGGGGGTGGAGCGGCCGCATCGGTGAAGACCGGACCCTCTTGGTCCTGAACGCCAGCATCAGCGGAAGGATCAGGCATCGCAGGGGTTTCAGTCCCCCCTCCCACCAGTGGAAGGACAGTTGTCGGTTCCTCATCTGTGCCCTCTGGAGACTCGCCTTCATCACCTAACAGCAATCTTCCTTTTCTTACCTCAAAATCCCTTAGAAGATCGAGACAACAAGAGACTTGCAGGGGATAAAAGCTCCTAGAAGGAGGATGTGAGCTAGAGGGTACTAGAGCAGCGAAATAATCAACCCCGACTTTGCACGCCAAAGCTACCTCAAGTTTTCCAATAGGGCTATGGCGCCAGTCTTCAATTACCTTCGCCCTATGTTGTGCCGACTGTGTTTCCTCGAGATCCCGCCTCAGTTGCTCAATTGAGAGGCGGCTCGATTGAATGACCTCTTCGGCGGCCACTCTAAGGGCCCTTTCAGAATCAACCTCCCCCGCCATCATAAATAGCATCTGTTTCCTTCGGGATGGACAACTTATATTCCTTGGGGATGTCAAACTTTGTAGACATGGTCTTCAGTTGGGCCAAGATCACCTTCGAACGAATGATCTCCAGATATTCCCGGCGAGCAACCACTTCCAAATCCATGAAGAAGCAAGGGAGCAATCCAGAGGAAAGACAAAATCAGAAGAGGGTTGAGAGAGATAAGAACAGTCCGAGCGGATGAAAATCTCAAACGGTACAAATATAGTTTCCTACTTTACAACTGTCAATACATCCCAGCCATTAGAGCCAACTTCATCCTACGGCTAAGACCTAGCATCGGAATTTGAAATACCACCGAATGACGTTTCACCTCCTTTCCTCGAAGAAACCGTGGTCTGACAAAGGAACAACCCAGACAACTTTAGTGATGTCCGGTGATGACAGGTGTCCTCGCATCCAGAAAGGGTGCCTCCTCGCTAGCGAAACCAGTTCTATTCAATCTCTGCTCATTTATTTCTCTTGAATCCGACCACAACCACATCCAAGCGAAAGGGGCTGATTGTTATAGGGTGTTCCCTATTCCCCACAGATATGTTATCCCAAGAGCAGGTTCGGTCGAGTCGACTTTACTCCAAGACGACTTGAAGGGCGGACTCAGTCGAGCAAAAGATATACCCATCGATCAACTGATACTTTTCCCAAGGGCGACTCGGAATATTATTTTTCAGTATTATTTGACCATTTATGACCACAGAAGTGACTCCACATCACTCGCCGACAAGCCCCGACGGTTGCTAGGTCCCCATAACACAGAAGTGACTCCACATCACTCGTCGACAAGCCCTGATGGCTGCTGGGTCCCCATAACGCAGAAGTGACTCCACGTCACTCGCTGACAAGCCCTAACGGCTGCTGGATCCCCATATCGCGGAAGTGACTTGCGTCACTCGCTGACAGGCCTCAACGGCTGTTGATTCCCTATGTCACCGAAGTGACCTCCCATCACTTACCAATCAATACGTATCAGGCAAAGGATGACTCATCCTCCAGCCCATCCCTCAGCATCATCATGAACCGCACTCTCGCAAAGTGCCGATCATGCCCCCGACATCCTCTATAAGTAAAAACGCTATTCACCACAGAAGGAGGTTTGATTTTCTGACCACCTACAAAAATTCTCTAGTCACATATTAGAAGGAGACATGATTCTTCCATTTCGGGACCCAAATTCACCATCTGACTTGATCGTCGGAGGTACCATGGGGGAAACTAGCCCCGTACTCCCACGATTCTTGTGTATGCAGGTGATTCGCCCACTCCGAGCTCTGAGAACTAGGCATAAAGTCGAAGAAGGAAAGCGGCCCCCTCTCGACGATTCAACATCTCGACGATCCAGTAACTCGACAACCCCCATCGATTGTTTGTTCACGAGGATCAACAATCATCAATATAATAGACATGATTCCCAAAATGATCTCTAACCACTCCTGAAGTATAGGCCATCCCATTTTATAAGGAGTTCCTCGGGAACATTTACTCCATAGTTAAGGAGGGGTTTTCTAAAATTAACTCTACCTAAAGGGCTGTTTGGATTGATTTTTTGGATAGGTAAAAGAGGGGAAAGCTGCAAAAAATGTTAGCTTTTTGGCCGCTTTCCCCCAAAATCACCTCTATAAAAGGTGATTTTGGGGGAAAGCTACCAAAAAGCTGTCATTTTTGACAGTTTTTCCTCCTTTTACCTATCTAAAAAATCAATCCAAACAGCCCCTAAGAGTAAAGGGAAAACTGTAGCGAATATGGACAGTATTTTCAATTACTTGTATATACTCTTTATAACATAGTTTCATCGTCTGACATAGTTTCATCGTCTGATATGCTTATTCCTACGGCTGATGTTTAAAATTTAAGTAACTCTAGTTCTGAGTGACTTAGTTTCAAGTGAGTCCTATTTTGAGCTCAATTTTCCAACAGATTCCTCTGCATTTTTTTTTATTTGACGATTCGGTGCCTTCCTAATGTTCTCCTTTTGCTAGCAACCTCTCAATATTCTAGTATCCATCAATTTCCTTTCATAAAACAATCATTATGTCGTGCGATTATTAGAGAAATTGAAGGCGACAGTCTAAGCTGCTATTTGCCGCCAAAAGACATCATAGTCGCCAGTTAAGAAGAAAACGACACCTATACATCAAGAGGTCAAACGCTTTTATGACCAACTAAAGGCACTTGATTAAAATGCAAGAAGAAAGTAACACGAAATGCGTATATGTTCGCTTTCAATTTGATTGCATTGAATATGAGAACGGAATATAGTGAGTTTAGCTTATCCCGAGTAATATATTAATCCTTTGCAGTAAATTATGGATTTAAATCAACCAACGAGCTTGAGGATATTGTTAGAATTTAGGAAAATATTAGCAGCAAAGTGAGGTCAGATAGTTGATTGGAAGTAAAACTTACTTTATATAAGTTTAGATATAAATTAAAAATAGAGGTTTTTTTCTTATATACGCCCCAAATCTTTCATGTTTACAAAATTACCCTCCAAATTATAAAATTGCCACCCAATTCTCTCACGTTGATTTTTTTCTATCACTTTCACTTAATAATTTTAGTTTTTTAAATGGTAAATTGTTACAAACATATTGGAATTATTGGAAATTTTGACGTTGCCTTGTTTAAAAAGCAGCATTCTTAGGTTGGAGTAGCGGAAAGACCTAATATGCTGTTTTAAGGGGCAATTTTGCAAATACCTAGGACTTGAGGGTAACTTTGCAAATATTGAAGATTTGAGGGGCATATATATTTCACTTAATAATTTTAGTTTTTTAAATGGTAAATTGTTACAAACATATTGGAATTATTGGAAATTTTGACGTTGCCTTGTTTAAAAAGCAGCATTCTTAGGTTGGAGTAGCGGAAAGACCTAATATGCTGTTTTAAGGGGCAATTTTGCAAATACCTAGGACTTGAGGGTAACTTTGCAAATATTGAAGATTTGAGGGGCATATATATGGAAAAACCCCTATTGTAAATTCAGGAAAATACCTGTACAATTAGTTAGTCATTTGAAGCTTGAGGTTTTTGAGTTTCTACTTATTGTCCTTGGTATTATCTTCTAGGCTCCTGCTTCCACTGGTGCGGGCAAGCCTGTTGCAAAAGCTGTCAAGAAAGAGAGCAGCAGTGATGAAGATGAGGATGATAGCTCAGATGATGAACCTCCAAAGGCACAAAAGAATATAGCAGTGAGCTTACTCGTTTTCTTTGACCATTTCGTATGCTGGGTTGTTTGTGGTTATCTTACTTGCTTTTTCATTGCCCAACATTCAGACTAAGGCTACTCCAAAGCCAAAGGTACAAGAGAGTTCTGATGAGAGTGAAGAAGAGCCACAAAAGAAGAAGGTGAAAGTTCAGGTACATATAGATTTTATTTAGAAGATGGAACACTTTTGTTTTCTTAAAGATATACTAATGCTTGTTCATTAAACACCTGTACCTTTGAAATGTTGTGAAGTCGAACAAGGACAGCAGCAGTGATGAAGAAGATGGCTCTGAAGATTCTGAGGATTCGTCAGAGGAATCTGAAGATGAAAAGCCAGCAAAGACGCCAAAAAAGGTAGAGATTATGAAAAATCATTACATTCTCTAATAACTAGAACGTGTTCAAACGGATTCACGTGTTTAATGTAGTGAATATGGATTCAATATAGTGAATCGAGATTCACATGAGTGAATCCAGATTCATTGTCATGAATCCAGATTCATTATATCAAAATATAGCCATATTATTTATGTTGTTTTATTTTCAGTTGTTGGCAGCAATGAACAAATTAAGGAACCACATGTTATAAATGCATCGGACAGTGATTTTGGAGAAGATGGAATGGACGAAGTTAGCTCTATTCCTTTTGAATCACCAGGTGGTGGTATGTATTGGAAACCTCGGGTTGGAGCTGAATTTAAACCTTATCTAAACCAAAGCTTCCGATCACTAGAGGATGGTATAGAGTTTTACCGAGAGTATGGACGTAAAAGTGGGTTTGAGATCAGACGGCATACAGAGAAGAAACATGAGGACGGTACAGTTCTTCTTAAACACATTGTTTGCAGTAGAGCTGGCAGCAATGAATCAAAGATGGATGTTGATTATGAGGATTTTAGTAGCAGTTCGAAAAAGAGAAGGAGAACTGTATCTAGTAGATGTGGTTGCAAAGCTAAAGTCGTGTTTAAGTTTGATGGTTTGAAAGGATATAATGTTCTCTCATTTGTTGAAGAAGGATATAATGTTCTCTCCTTCGTTGAAGAGCATTCTCATTTTTTGGTCTCCGGTAGTGGGAAACAATTTTTGAAGTCAAATAGAGTTCTCGGTCTCGCACATAAGAAACTTGTATTTGATGGAGCAAAAGCCAACATGGGGCCTAACAAAACATATAACTTTGCTAAGGAGTTGTGTGGAAGTTATTCTAATGTTGGTGCTACGTGTACCGAGTTTAAAAATTGGAGTAGGGATGTGAAGCTTTATATTGGTGATCGAGATGCTCAAATGATCATCGAGAAGTTCACGGCTAAGAAGGAGATGAGTGATGGATTTTTCTATGATTATGCAGTCGATGAAGGTGGTCGATTAACTCGCATTTTTTGGGCAGATGTTATTGGACGAAGAAATTATGATGTATTTGGAGATGTGATATCATTTGACTCTACATATTCCACAAACAAGTAAGATTTTATAGTTAATCTCTTACTATTTTCAATATTGTAATTATATATCATAGTGAATCTTATATTTTTTGTATGTGATACAATAGGTACAACATGAAGTTTGTTCCATTTACTGGTCTCGACAATTATAAGAAGTGTGTTGTATTTGCAGCAGGATTGATAGCTAAAAAGGACATTGATAACTATGTCTGGATTTTTGAGGTATTCATGAAATACATGATTCGCGAGCCAAAGTGTATTGTTACAGATCAGTGCCCTGCCATGAAGCAAGCTATACCAACCGTCTTTACAGAAGCACGTCACCGTTTGTGCATGTGGCACATCATGAAGAAATTTAACCAAAAGGTAATGAATCGCACATATAAATATAATGAATCCTCATTAGACAAATACTGAATCTTTTGTTATATATTTATATTGTAGTTGGCAAAATGCATTTCGAAGATGGATGATTTCAAGAGGAAGATCAATGCACTGATTTGGAGTATAGATATAGATCCAGCAACATTTGAAGTCGGTTGGAAAGATGTTATGAAAGAATATAAGCTTGAAAGTAATGAATGGTTGTGTGAACTGTATAACATTCGGGAGTCATGGATTCCAGCCTATTATGTTGATGATCCAATGGCCGGCTTATTGCGGACTACATCAATATCAGAGAGTGAGAACAGTTTCTTTGACAAATTCAACCGTAGATCTGACACATTAACGGAATTTTATCTCCGATACGAGAGTGCTATGGAGAAGCAAAGGCATACAAACGCAAGATTAAACTATGAAGGAACGAAGTCGATGCCAAGAATGGACACTCCATTGTTATTGGAGAGGGATGCAGCAGAGTTGTACACTCGAACAATGTTTTATGAGGTACAGAAAGAGATAATGTCATCCTGTTATGATATGAGTATCAACAGTATATCAGAAGAAGATGGTGTGAAGATTTTTTCCATAAAGGACAAAAGGAGGCATGGAAAAATATTTGAGGTAATACTTAATAGCGTTTTTTGAAACAATAAAAATTTAATCTATTTTTATTGTAGTGAATCCCGATTCAATGAAGTGAATCGCGATTCAAGTAAGTGAATCTCGATTCACATCACTGAATCGAGATTCAGTGACCATTACAATGACTTGTCATTTTCTTTTTTTTGAATTTTAGGTGAAACACGCTTATTTGAACAATGACGTGCAATGTACGTGTAGGCTGTTTGAGAAAATGGGTATAGTATGTAGACATGGTTTTTTTGCACTGAACCAAGCTGATGTAACAAAAATACCAAGACATCTTGTTGTGAACCGATGGACAAAAGGTGCTGAGATGAGTCATTCATTGCAGTTCAAAGAAATATCAAAACAGTGCAATGCAATTGAAGTTACAAATCGTAAGTTGAATGACATATGGTATGATTTCCAATCCTGTGTGAGTTTGGCAGGTCTAGATGGTGAGAGACTTGACTACCTGAAAGGGAAGTTGAAGGAGTTGAAGCACAGTTTGCGTGAATCTAGTTGGAAATCTGACACACAGAACAAAAATGATGTAATGGAGTTTTTTGTTGGCTCAAAAATACCAGCGGAAGTGATCGTTAAACCTCCCATTGAAGGTAGAAACAAGGGGTGTGGACGGAGAATTGTTGGTGATTATGAGAAATCACTTACTCAACGAAAAAAGAAGGTGCCAAGGCTGTGTAATATGTGCAAAAAAATCGATTTCCATGACGCACGGACATGCCCATTAAAGAAAACAGTACAGCAGAGTGATGTTTAATTTAGTTGTTATATTTCATTTCAGAATCATTTTTATGAATACATTTCTTATGCAAATTGCTGAATTGTGTAATTCTTAACTACATATATTTATTGGATTATTAATCACATGGTTACGATGTGTCATGTTAGTATATTGAATTGAGATATACTCATATAGCAAGTGAATTCCATTATTATTAGTTGTATTATTTAAGCAGGTATGATAAAGTCGTTGTATGCAGTCATCAGTTTGAATTTAATTCGCGTTAAGCGATTCTGGACTAACTATATTGAATCTAGATTGATTACAGTGAATCTAGATTCTCTGATATTGAATCTAGATATCACTATAGTGATTCATTATAATCAATCAAAAAATCAAATTACTTGATTGTTTCGGTTTAAGTTATTATGGTCTAACTATAATGAACAGAGTTTCATTTTAGTGAATCTGGATTCACTGATCTGCATATGGATTCACTATAGTGTAGTGACTAAGATAATGTTGACTTACTGAATTTTTTAGTGTAGTGAATCGAGATTCACTTTATTGAATCTGGATTCACTATAGTGAACCTAGTTTCAAACTAATAAGGTAGAAACAAGGGGTGTGGACGGAGAATTGTTGGTGATTATGAGAAATCACTTACTCAACGAAAAAAGAAGGTGCCAAGGCTGTGTAATATGTGCAAAATAATCGATTTCCATGACGCACAGACATGCCCATTAAAGAAAACAGTACAACAAAGTGATGTTTAATTTAGTTGTTATATTTCATTTCAGAAATAAAACTATGACAAAGCTATTCTCATAAAGTATATTTACATAGAAAAGCAGTTCAACACAAACTAGAGTATTCCATAACATTAAGTGACAATGTACTCAATAACTGTAAACTTCAACGTTTAAAATTATGGTGATTACAGAATATCATTTTCCTTGAGATCTTGTGGTCTTCCTCGTCTGTTTTTTTGGTATTGGCAGTTTCATCATGGTGCTGTTGGGCTTTGCTGATGACTTCTTTGGCCAATTCATTTGTTGGTTCAGTAAGAATTTGGCAACAATATATAGACCTCAGTCTATGTAGCTGATTTTTTAATCGCTCCTGTCCATATGAATAAAAGTTCAGTTCAAGATTCAGTAGCTAATTGATGTGCTTTATATTCTAAATTTAATTAATTCAAAAAGACTAAATGTAAATTATCAACACATTATTAGTTTAAACACTTACACCCTCTCTATGAAAACCAGAGTTCCAATTTGCTGTACCACCGCCCATGTAGGTCTCCATATGTCTCATGACAAAAATAGCACAATCAAATTTGTTTTTGGCCGTTCTCCACTCCATCTCAAGTCTGTCAGGCGTTAATGTATTTATTTCGCTCGCCTTGTGATGTTTTTTGTGTGCCAAATATCTCACAAAATTTTGGTGCTGTTAAATTCTGGTGCTGTTTAATCAAAATTAATCAGTGTCACATAATAAATCCAAATTATTATACAGTAATGTTTAATGTAATATACAATTTGTTTTGGTTGTTTATATGCAAACAGTATTAATGACATTGAATCACGATTCAATGGATCTAGCTCTCTAGAATTTAATAGAGTTAGTTCACCTGGATTTACTCTAATGAATCTGGATTCATATTAGTGAATCTGGATTCATTAGAATTAACTATAGGTAGTGCATAGTGATTATGTGATGTGAACACAGATTCACTAGCTATATTGAATCGAGATTCATAGTAAGATGTGAATCCAGATTCACTAACTCTAGTGATCAAAGTTTGAGATACAGAGCAAGTTGCTCATCCATCCGGGAAGCAAAACGACTGTATCTCAATTCATCATTGGCCTCATCTGTGTGATGAATGTTGCAAAACTGTACAACATAAAACTGGTTAAATAAAATGTAACTCAAGTGTTATTTTAAATTAAATAAAGGAAGATACGTACGGTTGTCTCAACATTGCAGAAGAATCTAAGAGGAGAATTTTCCGACTTCATTTTTTCTCTGCTGTTCAAAATATAGGACCAAATGCTGATTAAATTTGCCTCAATGTCCTCAGAAGGAAGGAAAGTCTTGAAAGCAGGTAAGAAACATTCAATTTGTCTCCACTTAAAAACCATTTCACTGAAAAAACAGTAACAATATTCAATTTAATAAAGGGACAAAATACTAAAAATAGTGAGTCTCACACCTAATAATAAAATATCAAATAAGTGTTCAGAACTCACAAATTCTCTTCTTCAGCGGTATCATCACCTGAATGCCTTACTTCTCTATGTACCCAATTCCATATGATGCTTTCTAGCTGACTTTGCCTAGCAGTAATCTGAGATACCCTCTGCACCCATGGTGACCGAAGAGACGTTGCAGGCTTCACCATCCTCTTTTCTTTCCCCCTTCCCGCATGTCCCTTATTTTCGGCCACCTGAACTTTCTTACCTTCACATTTATTTACTGCAGCAGCATCTTCAGGTTGTTTATCAGTTCTTCGTACAGATTCATCAATGAATTCAGATTCACAAGCTTTAGCAATCTGAACAACATCAACCATTTCCACTGATTCAGTCTGAGTATCCTGTGTCAGTTTACTGCAGCAGCATCTTCAGGTTGTTTATCAGTTCTTCGTACAGATTCATCAATGATTTCAGATTCACTAGCTTTAGCAATCTGAACAACATCAACCATTTCCACTGATTCAGTCTGAGTATCCTGTGTCAGCCCAAGAGAAAAACTAGGTTCCTCAGTCTGTGGGGTACTACATTCGCTGATCTTCCGTCTCACTGGTCTGTCATCCTTTTTCATGTTGTTTCATCATCACAGGTACTTGCACGATGTCCACACCCCTGCACAAGAACATTTGAAACTCTCTGTTGAATTTAAAAGAGCTCATTGTCATCGGGGAACAGCTTTCTCATTGTCTCACACTCAGCATCAAATCTATTTTTTGCAGATTCCAGCTCTGCAGCTCTCCGTTGAACCCTCTCAATACAATCCTGCATTTTGAATATCACAGACATTGGTCACCATAAATTATTAACATGGCGATAGACAAGATTCGATAGATTGAGATTACATTCAATGTATTAGAATCAAGATTCATTAGTAGTGAATCCAGATTCATTCCAGTTTCACTTCAATGAATCGAGATTCAGTAAGAGTGAATCCAGATTCAGTTTAGTAGATCGATATTGAGTATCACTGAATCCAGATTCACTTAACTGAATCTGAATTCAGTTTAACTTGAG